CACTGTGTGTGTGTGTATATATATATATATATATATATATATATATGATAGATCATTGGGAGGAGACAAGAGATTGGCAGGGGGGAAGAGCAATGTATGGCTTCAATCAAAGTTTTAGATAATTAGAACTTGTTCTGGGAAAATAGGAAGGATAACATTAGAGCAATGTTATCTTGAGGGAAGAAGTAACAGGCTTTGGACACAAATCAAACCTAGAGACATTGGTTCCAGTGTAGAAGGATCTGGCTTTTCTATGAAGGATCAGCCGAGCCCCTCCACTGGCTGACAAAGACCCCATGTCACAAAGTGGGGAGAACGGACCCAGACCACTCCACTTGTTGAATGTGTTTCCTTAGTCTCACTAAGTCCCTTTTGTTCATGTGTAAGAAGGGTTTAGTAATGCCTACAGTTGCACAACAGTTGTAAAGAGCAGAAAAAATATGTGTAAAACACCTTCCGCCCTACAACCAGTGCCTAGTAGGCTGACATAAATGCCTGAGATAAAGAATGATCACAAGAACGTATTGGAATAGAAAATAAATGCACTCTCAAGATGATATCAAAAACTCTCCCATCCATGTTTCTACAAGGTTCTTGGATAGGAGGAAATAAGAACTCAGTTAACTTGAAAGACAAACCCACTTATAAATCACGATATGATAATAGAAAGGGGAGCTGGGTGAAGCTAATAGCAGTTGGCAGTGTTGTTTTAAAGAGAGGTGGCTTCTACCCTGGCTGGTGTTGCCAAGTGGTTAGATACTGACTCCCTGCACCAAAGAGTCTCAGGTTTGATTACAGGCCAAGGGTTTTGCAAGTTCTTCTTGGCCATCGATGTTTCTATCTCTCTCTCTCTCTCTCCCTCCCTCCCTTACACTCTTTCTAAAAAAAAAAAAAAAAAAAAAAAAAAAAAAAAAAATCAATGGGGAACATATATCCTTGGGTGAGGATTAACAACAATAACAAAAAGGGGGGGGGGGCTCCTTTTGCCACATATGTTTCAGTGATGCATTTTTATTTATTTTTATTTATTTATTTTTTACCTCCGTTGACTCATCCACAGGAGTGGGAGTTCATACAATAGGAAGTTCTTGCAGCATCCTGCTTAAGATTCTCCTCACAGAAGATTTGGTTCTCGGCCCATTTTCTGTCAGGCTTCCTGAGTTCAGAAGGCAAAGCACAAAAATTCTCCGGCTCCACACTGAGCTCTCTGGAGCTCCCGCCTGGAAGGTTACAGCCGCCCGCAGACATCACCATCTGCATGTCCTGCAGGCATGTCCAACGCAGTGCGTCCCACCCAGATTAATCACCCTCCCACAGCCGTTCCCACTCTTCTCTTGTCTAGGGCAATGCCATCGCCAATGTGCCAGGCACAGAATGTGGAAATTTCCATTCTTTCACTTCTCATGCGACATTCTCCAAGATCCATCCGCTGCCCAATGTTGGAGATTCACCCTGTGTAACCTGTTCCCATTGTGCCCGAGAGGGTCCTTCTCTCTCTCCTGGCCACAGCAACAGCCACCTAGCCAGTCCGGCTCTGGAGTCTCTCCAACCCCAGACAGCGCCATGCCTGGACTGGCTAATGAATGGTCCACCTTGGGGAGGTGGATGATGGACACCTGTCTCCAGGCCTCCACTTTCTCACTGGGTTACTCCAGTTACATTTCTGAAACACAGATCACTTCTCTATGTGAAAATACTTCAGTGGCTCACCATAGAACTTACAGAATGAAGTCTAAGCACCCACATTTCACCCATTTCCTCTTCCATGATATCTCTTCAAGCACTCTCTACTCCAACCACATTGAAAAACAGGCTCTGCCCCACAAATAACATGTGCTTTCTTCACTTCAGGGTCGTGGCCCATGGCATGTTCTCTGTGAGCCAGCTAAGCTCCCCTCCTCTTTCCTGACTCTGCCTGAAGGTTATTTCCTCCATGGAGCTGCATTAATTCTCCACTCCTCAGTCTCATACTGCTAAGAATGGCCCCACTGACTGTATGTTTTGTACATAATGATTTTATAATTCACAGAGCTAGAAGATACACAGCATCTCTTATTGTCATCTCTGAATCTCCAGGGCACTTTGAATTGATTCTTAGTCTGAGTAAAAATAATCTTCTTACATGTTACTTTAAAAAAAAGGTGATTTTCACAAAAGAAAGCTTTTAAAAATTCACAGAACCAGTTAACAATGTTGTTTGCAAAGGACCCAAACAGTGAACTCCCTGAGCTCTGCCATATTAAATACATTTTTTGTTGTTGTTAATCCTCAGTGGAGGCTATTTTTCCATTAATTTTTAGAGAGAGTGGGAGAAGGAGAGACAGAGAGAAACATCAATGTGAGAAAGATAACATCAATTGGTTCCCTCTTGCATGCAACCCAAACATGGCCGGGGAACCTGCAACCAGAGTACATGCCCTTGACCGGAATCAAACCTGGGACCCTTCAGTCCATAGGCTGGAGCTCTATCCACTGAGCAAAACCAGCTAGGACTTAAATATACTTTTAAAGTCCATCCCAGTGTTAATATTCCAGGTGCACTGCTATCATAAGAGGCTTTTGTAGACCTCTGCTAGGTTTCATTTGTTTCCATTAAGCAAGTGCAAAAGAATATAAGATGATTGTCTAAATTTATGTTGACTAGTATTAAAGCAAACAATATATCAAAATATTTGAAGTATAAGATGTAGAAATTGACTTTTATCTACAAATTTAATTTTTTTTGGTGTGTGTGTGGTGTTTTTTTTTACCAAGGTCAATAAAACATTTGCTTGTTCTTTCTGTGCACAGAAATTTGACTGCTAGTCAAATAATTCAAATAACACTCATAACAGCTTCATTTACTTGGTCATTTTAGGTAAAATTATGAAAATTTGAGGTGCTCAGGAAATTATAAAAAGGGTTGCTTTTGATTCTGATTAAGCAAGTTATTTACTGTCTTCATTTAAATCTATGGAATAGATGGAATCTAGCTATTGATTTAAAATATTGTAGTCCTTAGGTTATTTTTCTCTTAAAATTACTTTAAAAACTGGGATATGAAAATACTGAGGAGATAAACATAAATGGGTACTTTTATACATTATATCAATTAATTGCATTATCACTTAGCTCAAAATCAAACTTGAAAAGTAAATGGGCATCTTTTATCTTTTCTCATTGAAGATGCACCTTATCTAATAGAGAATATGCTAATTTACTGTCACACCCTCACAAAAATGGCAGCGCCAACAGCCAATAAGGAGGAAATATGCTAATTAACTGTCACACCCTCAAAGATGGCATCACCCACAAGATGGCGGCACCCAATCCCTTATGCCCCGCAGGGCTGGCCCAAGGTGCAGGCAAGTCTCAATGATGGCTGCCCATCTTCCCAGGGCTGCCCAAGGCTCAGGTAACCAGGGCTTGCACTGCCAGCAGTGGCAGCAACAGAGATTTGATGGGGGCATCCCTTTCCCCCAATTGCCAGGTAGAAGGTCGCCGTCTGCCCCTAAGGGCTCTCAGACTGTGAGAGAGGGTAGGCCGGGCTGAGGAACCCCCCATCCAGCACATGAATTTTCATGCACCAGGTGTCAAGTATTCTAATAGGTTAGCTTGAGTTTGAAAATCATTATTATTACTATATTCAATTATTTCTTCTCACATTTTTCTCCCTTTGCTAATCTTCTTGATTGGTAAAAGGGCTTACAATTATATAAATTAGACAGACAAATTATTACTCTCTAGAAAATATTTATTGACAAGTTTTCATTTTCTTTCAATTTTCTGAGAAAAAAAACATAATAGATAAAATACAGTAAAATGCACTTTTCCCATTTTAAATAAATATATTTACTCTTGTAAAAAATTTAATAATCTGTGTATTTCACCATAGTATCTTAATCAGTGAAATAAAGCAAAGAAATTCTCTGGTTAAGTCGCCACTTATCTTAATGGTTCTCACAGCATTTCCCTGGAGAAAGGGAACACTATTCTCTTAAGAATTATATTCAGACTTGGATACTGTCACTTTTTGTTTCCAGAAGGCAAAGATAAGCTTTTTTAACAAGTGTTTAATGGCAAAAAGAGTCTTAGTTTGAGAGAAAGATAGCATCCAGGTCTTTGCTAAATGAGCCAAGTTGTGTGTAAATTTTCTTATTAATATTTCCTAGGAACCAGACTGCATTCTGCATTATAATGACTCCTTTTGTATCACACTAGCAATTTTTCAAAATCAGTGGTTACATATTTAAATGAACAATTATGTAATGTACTGTAATGTAAAAACCAAGACAGATTTTTAAAACTCTATTAACAGGAAAGGTTAAGAATAATGCTATTATACAGGACAAATGCATCCTTTTCACAATTGTTATTAACATTATAAGAACTGAAATCTAGTGGATTATACAGACTTAACACAGATTCTCATATACACATAGATCCCTGATCAGCTTAAGACAATACGTTAGTTTGCTCTTGGAAGTAGTTAAGAATATTTTAGTAACTAGCAAAGATCACATTTAGGTAGTCACCAATCTTCAGACTTTTCTTATGTCTAATCTATTTTACCCTCAAAAAATATATCACCAAAGAATAAAAATCATTAGTATTGTTTTACTTTCTATGTTAGCAGTTAACTGGTACTTTATATACTAGAGAGCTTACAGAAGTAAATAGAGCTTTACTATAGCTCCAATCCCTCCATAGTAGGCATGCAGAAACATTGGTCAATCTGTACCAAAGCAAAAACCTCAAAGCATAACTATGTTTAGTAAAAATCTGGCACAGCTATAAAGTGGATTTTAGATCTGGCCTTGGCATTGTAAATGGCATCAACTATTGTCCATGTGGTAATATAATATATGGAACTTTTACCTCTTTGTTTTAAAGATTTCAAAATGACATGCGTAGTCGTCGATTTATAACATTTTTATTTCTACACATTTCTGGAACAACTCTGTGCTCAAAAACTCACAAGTAAAATAAAATAACTGAGTGGGTTCCTTCTTTGACATTCTCTATAATTCCTCCATTTCAAAGTGTGTATCGAAGCTGTTTGCCATGGAGGTGTGTTCAAAGATCCTTGTCAGGCTTGGTTTCAACAGTTCCACTGAGTGACATGACAGGTGCTGAGCCGTGTCATTCTTCAGGGACATTATTTGGTCTGTCCCAGGCTCCCTCCTATCATAATAGAGAGCCCAGAGCAAAGTGATGGTGAGAATCATGGCCAGGATTTGTGTCACTCCAATGGAGATCCCCAGAAACCTTAGCACCTGCAGTTGTTTGGTTCCTCTCAGAAAGGAGTACATTTTCTTCCCACAACCCTGTAAAAGAAATGACACAGTCAAAGTTACTTTGCATGAGTTACAGAGGGCCAAATGGTGAAAACAATCACTATCAGTTAATGGAACAAAACGACTAAATCCTAAAGTTTAAAGCAGTGACTCTCAACAGGGACACCTGTGAGAAGCCAGAGGGGAGATTGAGATGGGAACTCTTTGAAAAGCCTGCCCAGTGATTTCTTCTTTCTTCCTTACAACTTGAAGTTGGGAGCTGCTGGTAAAACACACGTCTAGAGTAAGGGTTGGTGAACTTTATTTTTGATAAAAGGTCAGATAGTAACTCTTTTATGGTTTGTAGGCCACGTGGTCGCTGTTCCACCTACTCATCTCTGCCACTGAAACACCAAAACAGCCACAGACAAAATGTAAATGAATGGATGATGTAGCAGTGGTCCAGATTTGAGGTACAGGCCACAGAGTGCCAACTTCTGACACAGACTGACTCAAATTTTTCAAAACTAAAGTTTCATCATTACTATTATTTGTGTAGACTGTTTGATTATTGTTCCTTTGGTCAGAAGCTTTTCCCCAGAAATCAGGAATATTTCCCCAGGCTGCTGCTGAAGCATGCTGGTGAGCGGAAGTCGATTTGTTCCCTTCTCCCTACCTTGCACATGCACACATGCCTCTGTCTACTGCCTGCAGCAGATGTTTACATGGGGGACTTCCTGACATGGCTCCAAGTTCTAGTTCTACCACGTAAGAATTTGACATCTGACTTAAAAAAATAAGCAAAATTTTTGTTTGCGTTTAGTTTTAATTCGAAAGGTTAGCAAGTATTAATACCTATGGTAGTCAAAGAAGATAATACAGAAAGAAGAGATGAGAAGGAAGAAAAAGAGAAAAAAAATCCATGAGCAAGGAAAATGGGGGGTGAGGGGCAAATAAATGGAGGTAGAATGTGGCTAACAACTGTCATAAGTCACCTCACAGGTGACCGAAGTATAGTCTACCTGCCATGTGGCTAATGAATCCACAACAAAGAAGTGAAAATTCCCTCTTCTAAAAGGAAGCTGGTTCTAGATTAAGGTAAAAATATGGGAATTTTATAACAATTAACAGATTTCAAAAACTTTGAAGATTCTGAGATGTTACTCTATTTGGAAACTAACAAACTAGCCTGCGGTGGTTTGGTGGATGCTGGTAGAAGGAGAAAAAGAACTTTATCACTCACAGCAATAGCAATAGCCAGAGTATATTCCAGTTCCTTGAGTCCCCAGAACAACATGAAGATAGCGAGATGACCCTTGCACATTGAGTGGGTTGCACAACCCCAATCTTTTGGGAACCCTAATATTTTATAATGGGCAGGAAGAATACTTGTTCTTTGCATTGGAGAGAAACATTATCATCATGGTATTGAACAGTAAGAAAACCTGCCCTTTTCTCTGGAAGGGCACACTTTCTTCACTAGTAGGCTGAAGAAAGTGTGTAGGCTGTTTGCTATGCACAACCAAACAAAATATAAGCAGCCAGTGACTTTTCTCTCACAAGACAAGCAAGAGACACATGGAAAATTATCTCCCAACAAAACCTTGACTTTTCCAGTTTTTACTCTAGGTTCAGGGTAAAAGTGAGTCCGGGCTTACCCTACTAAGGCAGCTACTTGAATAAAAAGAAATTGATCATTATTTATATAACTGCTTCCTTGTTTTCTTCTCTAGATTCCACAAAGAACTCAACTAAAGCAAGGAAGGCAAAAGTCCATTGTTAGAACTTCTGCATTATATTGAAAGAGGAAACGAATGATACATAATTATTAGATTTCCAAAGATAATGATTAGTAATTATACCCTAATAACTCATAACTCTCAATAAATAAATAAAAAAATCATGTATAACTACTCAGACATATTTCAATAACTACGTTTTTTTTCTAGTACATAATGTAATGCAAATTAACAGTAAAAGATAATCCATGTTTCATCAATGTAGCCAAAAGTAAAATTAAAATATTTATAATTTATTATTACTTAACATCAGTATAATAAGATAACTTCTCTGGCCATCTTACCTATTTGATACATACAAATATGCATTTGCACACAGACATTCTGGAAAACCAAAATAGATTTCACAAACACAACTGATCAATGTTCAAATATTTTTCAAAGAGTTCCATTGAGCTAGTCTATCAGAACCCATTCACACTTAAGTTTGTGTGTCGTTCTAACAAGCATCCTTTTGTGACACAGCACAGAATGTTCAAGATCATGAACTGCAGAGCCTGAATTCTGAATTTCAAATCCCTGCTCCGTTACTGATAAGTTATGTGACTTTGGGCAAGTTACTTAATCTGTCTATGCTCCAGTTTTCTATCTGAAAACATTCATAGTAATACAGCCTACTGTTAGAGACTTGGAGAGAATTAAGTGACTAAACATATTTAAACACTTAGAATGGGGTTTGGTACATGGTAATGAGGCTTTGTGTACCCTTGGCAAAGGCTGGGAGACTTACTGGTTCTAGGCATCTAAGGAAATATCTGTTCATTCATTAACTGACCACAAAGCTAACAGAGCATAGACTTTAGGGGCCACACATGACAAAAAATAGAGAACCTACAAATTAGTTCAGAAAAGTCATTAATGAACAAATAGCAACAATAAACCACAAGCTTTTGGGAAGAGATAGAACCTGATTTACAGAGGTGCCACATTATATTATTTAAAATGTCCAGTTTTCTACAACAACAACAACAAAAAAACACAAAAAACCACAAGAGGTGCAAAGAAACAAGAAAGTATATCTCACACACACACACACACACACACACACACACACACACACACACACACAAAGATACATCAAAGAAAATGCCTTGACATCAAACAGGCCAATCAACCTGATAGGGAAGGCATGAATGGGGATGGGTAAGAGGTCAACTAAAGGACTTGTATGCATGCACATAAGCAGAACCCATGGACATAAACAGTGGGAGGGTGAGAGCTTGTGCTAGATTGTAGGGGTAGCCAGGAAGAGGTCAATGGGGAGAAAGGAGGCATATGTAATACTTTAAACAATAAAAATAAATAAATAAATAAAAGAAAATGCTTCTAATAGAGGAACTCAGGGCCTCACTAGACAGCTCTGTCCACACTTGAACACATCAATATATATATAATTGATTTCAGAAAGAAATAGAAACATCAATGATGAGAGAGAATCATTCCTGCAACTCAGGCATGTGCCCTGACCGAGAATTGAACCAGTGACCTCCCGGTTCATAGGTCGACACTTAAGCACTAAGCAACACCAGCCGAGTGAAAAACAGTAGTCCTTAACAAGCATTTCCCTGTTGGAACCTGTCTTTCAATAAGATACAGTTCTGCTCTCAGACAATCCTTTTTTCCAGAAGGTAGAGAGCAATGCCTGATGAGCTGTCACAATCTCTTTAACCATCCTCTTCTCTAGACTACGTATTCCTACTGCCTCCAAGTTTTCCAAGTATATACACTTCATCATCTTGATGATCTCTTCCGGATTGCCTAGTTTTATCAACGTTTCTTAGGAAAGAATATTGATTTTTAACTTGAAAAAAAAACTAGAAAATGCAATATAATATTAAAACAACTAAGGTCTTATAAATGGATTTTGAGTCCATGCTAAAAGCTTTTCAGGTGCCCCAGGAGAGTGGACATGGCATTGTATCACATGGCACATGGTTAGGCCCTGGTCTCCTTCCTGATAATTGGGACCTGAATGTTATGTCTCTGCTGAGGGGGCCAGGGTTGTCTATTCAAAGCAAAGATTCTAGTTCAATTCCTCAATTTTTATAAAAATGTGTCAGTATTATCACTTCCTCAGTTTACACAATACATAGATAACCCCTCAAAACAAGATGAAAGTTAAGTACTTATGTTTGTCATCAGAATTCATTAATTAAAATTTACCCTTCTCTATCAGAAAAAAAGTTATTATTTAAAAGATGAAATCAAGTGACATCTCTATATATTTTTAAATTACATCCATGTATCAAACCAGACTATCAAAATCTGCTACACTGGAATATATTAGCCTATGCCTTGTATATTTTTCTCCACTAATGTGTATTTAAAAATACCATAAGAGCCAAAACCGTCTGGCTCAGTGGATAGAGCGTCAGCATGCGGACTGAAGGGTCCCAGGTTCAATTCCAGTCAAGGGCATGTACCTTGGTTGTGGGCACATCCCCACTAGGGGATGTGCAGGAGGCAACTGATGTTTCTCTCACATCGATGTTTCTAACTCTCTCTCTCTCTCCCCCTTCCTCTCTGTAAAAAAATCAATAAGATATATTAAAAATAAAAATACCGTAAGAAACTGCTCAATAAAATTAATGCAAAATAATATTGAAGATATTTTCTTAGGTAGTAATTCAGAGTAGAAGATTTTTTTAAAATCTCACTTGAAAAAATACTTTCAAGTTTCATTCCCTTTAAAAATGTAAAATATTCTACTCTACCATTAAATCATGCAAATGATGAGGTCTCCTTTTCATCTGAGCTTTCAGAAAGCTGCAGGGCAAATATGAAACTCCACAACCCCATCTGTCCTCATATTAGGCATGTCTAATTATTCTGTTCTTAACCCTGACTTTCCAATGTTATTTATATTTTATTATTAATTCATTGCATCATTCTTTTTTTTTTGGTTTAATAATTTTCATTTATTTATAAAATATCTGTTCTTTTAGTAGAGTATTTGAAGCTGGAATCCAATCTCTTAAACTTTAGACATTTTATTTTATACGTTTTTTTTATATATAATTTTCTTCTTTCCATATGTTCTGGGTTTTTTTTAATTAATTAATTAATTTATTTATTTTGATTTTTTTTTGCCCCCCTCCCTCCCTCTCATACATACCCTCCCTCCCCAGAGTTTTATGTCCATTGGTTGTACTTATATGCATGTATAGAAGTCCTCGGTTGATCTCTTATCTCCCCCAGATCTCCCTCCCCTCCCCACTGTAATTTGATCATTGCAACATTCTTGTTGTGTAC